TAATGGACTGTTTGAAGCACGTGGGAACCACAGCTTGGGCCAGGGAGAGGTTGAAGATCTCCGTGAACACCGGTGCTAGTTGATCAGCGCAGGCTCTAAGGACACCAGGCCTCGAGGGCCGGTGTCCTGCAGGTTTTAGATGTGCCCTTGAACCAACACAGCTGATTCAAATGGCTAAATGACCTCCTCAACATGTCTTGAAGTTCTCCAGAGGCCTGGTTACGAACTAATCATGTGATTCAGGTGTGTTGACCAAAGGTGAGATCTAAAACCTGCAGGAAACCAGCCCTCGGGGCCTGGAATTGCCCACCCCTGTCCTACAGTGATGATGGTTAGGCAGACCTCATGCTCATGCACTGTTTGGTTTCTGACAGATAAAAGTCTCCTGCAGAGACAAAGAGGACGAGCACACACAGGTGTAACGCAGCTGTTGTCATATTATTCACATCCATCGATCCGACAGGTGCACATTTTCAACCGTGTGACAGACTTTCAGATTAAATCTCAAGTTTTCTAAGTAAACCTCGCTGCTGACGAGAGCAGACGTTTTGCTAGTGTCTGGCTCCAGTACAGCTTTTTTTAAGGAAGTGATGTCGGACCTTGGGCTGGACCAGTCAAACGTAGTGTACTGTTCTTCAGCGACCTGTCTCATCATCACTCACAGAACTTCAGTATGAACGTGGAGGAGTGGACAGTGTGCTGTAGCCTCCACGTCACCACAGCTGTTTGACCCGCAGAGCCACAGGATGTGCTGGACTTACCTGTGAAACACTGCACAGGTGTTACAGTGAGCCGGCTTTTTTGGGTCCCTTTCAGTTTGTGTCAGAGGGTCTCTGGTTATGAAAGTACAAGCTGAACAGTGTCTGACATGACAGTGTCCTACTTCCTGTACAGACCTGCGAATGAGCATCTGTGGATCACAGGTCACCTGACAGATGTGACGAGAGGAAAGACTCCAGAGAGCAGCATGACCTGCAGCACACAGAAATGTGGTCGTGGTAATCAGCGCTTCGCTTCAGGTCAGCAGGTTAACTTATATTTTTGACCGTATTCATGTGAAACGTCCACAGACACAGAGGCTACAGGTGCAGAGACTTTGTCTGCTGAGCAGTGTTGGTCAAGTTACTTGAAAAAAGTAATCAGTAACTAATTACCAATTACTTCCCCCAAAAAGTAATCCCATTGCTTTACTGATTACTTATTTTCAAAAGTAATTAATTACTTAGTTGCACATCCCAGCACATAACATATTTTTTGTGTTTACACTCAGTCTTTCAAATAGATGCAAGTAAAACACAGCAGAAAATAAATAAAGTCAAAGACTCAGCGGTCCTGTTGCTCTATTTTCACCTGTAAAGCAGGA